TTCCACTTCCTGCTTCTCCATCACTTCAGAGTCTGTGTCCTTTCTGTGCCCCACAAAGATGCTGGGATCCCCAGTCCCCCACCATCCTCCCCATTTTGGGAAGTGTCACCAAGGGCTCTTGGAGATGTCAGTGAAAAAGTTTCCCATTTTCTGTACAGTTGAAAACCCAGAGGTTAGGCAGCATTTGTAAAACTGACCAGAGAAGGCAGGATGTCACGTTCCTCTTCCTTATGGGCATGGAAGTGTTAAAAGCTTCTAAGCTTTGCTGAGGACAAGTTAGATGAAGTCTACAGCCTGTTCATAAATGGTTGCACCGTTGCCCTCATGTGCATGCGTTATCTGTAGCAACTCAATACTCTGCAGAGGGCTTTGGGAAGTGTAAGGCTGAAACAGACTCTTTTTAATCTCCTTTATTTCCTCAGGCCATCTGGATTGAGTAAACACTCAAGACATCTGACAGGACAAAGTTGAACCTTAGCACTAACAGGTTCATATGTGTGTTAAGAGCCAGGACTGCTTGCATTCGGAATGCTGGCTCCAGCGTTGGCTCACAATGAAACCTTAATAGCTTTTCTGCAGCTTATGTGTCTTAAAGTAGGGCCAGCTATGACTTCTTGCCTCATGGGGTGTTTTGAATGTTTATTACTTATTGCTGAGAGCAGACAACATTACTAAAAAAAAAAGCTATTGGTCTTATTTAAGGCTCATTAAGATCTTGCAAATTTGGCCTGTACAAAGTCATCCTCAGAAATTACCCACTGAAGTCACTTTACACTTTCTTGTGTAAGAATAGCAGAGCCGAGCCTTTAAAACGCTTTTCAAATGAATCTGCTCTCAACGTGGTCAGGAGAATCTTACAACTGGCTACAGTGGAAGCATGGGATATGGTCCAAAGTAAAAGAATCGACACTCTGGGAGTCTGAATGAAATCTAGTAACTAATAAATGAAAAGTACTTTTGTTTATCCTTGCTGGCAAGCAGCCTGTCCGTAGTGGGAACACCAGTGCCCAAGTATGATCTTTATCCTTTTGGATTTATACGATGCTAAAATGGGAGCCTGGCCAAATCATGAGGTGCCCTTGCCACAAAAAGCAAGGACAAAATAGGAGCTTAGCTCTGAGAACTGTTCATGAAATCCATGTGAAACAGCTAACTCCATGAAATTCCCTCCCTTCGCAGCAGCGTATAACCATAGCGCTATGTGTATTGTCCCGGTTTGTGTCTGTCCTGCGCAGGATTCCATTAAAGATCCTGCTAAGTTGCTGATCCCTGTGCAATGCTGAGAGTGTGGTGGTTGTATTCAGACTGTACCAAATGCAAGTTAGAGGCCTGAATGCTTTATGTTTTAGTCCTTCGTGTCCCTGCACTTGGAGGACTTTCTCATGGTTTAGTCAGCTCTTTTACTGCCTTGAAGTAGGACCAAGTGTCCAAGCCACTGGCACTTGTGTGACTACCTGCCTCTGCGCTCACTGGTGTCAGGAAGGGGATGAGTAAACCGTAATTCTTTCTAGGGTTTAAAAAGAAAGGTTTTATCCTTAATTTATTGTGATGGGATGGTCACAAAAGGAAGGTTAAAGTTCTGTTCTTCCAGTATTGCCAAGCTGTCCAATGCTTACCCTCATCTATAGCCCTACTGTGAGTCCTGTGTACTTTTATCGAGGTTTGTGTTGATGGTCTGGGTCTATGAGAAGGGAGTATTCCTATTTATTGTTCCTAATCCAGAAAACTAATAATCTACTTAGTTTTCATAATGTGTTTTAATATTAGGCATTGGAGTAAGAGCCAGCTGTTAGATATGGTGCTTTTCCCTGAGCTTTACACTCAAGATGCAGGGTACATTGGTAACATTTTCTCTGATTGTTGTATGGATGCAAAGCTGCTGGAGGGAATTTAGAGGAATCTTTGCACTGAGCCACACCTTAAATATTTGCTTAATGTTTCTGTGTGAGCATCTTTCTTTAATATGAAACCCTTCACAACTAAAACCTGTGAAAGACATTGTATTAAAATCAGGTGTATAATAATGGATGATACAGCATAACACAGTGTAACAATAAGACAGTCTCTAGCAGCAGCTTCATGGAGGGGCTTTTTAAACCACAGACCAAATAACCCCACCTATCACTAAGCATCTTGGTGGGCTGGTTCATGCCTTCTGCTGGAGGGGGGCGGTGTGTGGTTTCATCTAGCCTGGTAAATCTGAACCCCTGTTTGACACCGCTGCAGCCTGAGGTTGAGCCATTTGAATTTCACCCGTATGCAAAATGATTGGGACGGAAGGTGTAGGGGAAAGAGGCTTTTAGCTAGTTAGAGCTTTACACTGTTCATGGTATGATGCCTCCTGATGGGAAGCAGTCTAATAAAGCTTCCATTTTCAAGTTGAGATAAAAGCATTACCTATCCAATAGATCTGTGTGTAGACACTAATGCCTCTCTGCTTTGTTTTCACGTATTATATGTACAACTGGCATTAATTGTTGCATTTTTCTTATGTTTTTCCAGTATGTTTTTAATCTCTGCAGGCTGTATTGATTTTTTTCCTCTGTTGCTTCTGCACTTGCCACCAGGACCTCCTTGTAGATAAGGTGTTTCAATTCAGTGTGTGATATTTCTTGGGAAAACACTCTAAAACACTTTTTTTTTTTTAATGTGTTAGTTTTTTCTTCTTTTCCCCCCTTTTGCTATGTATTAAAAGGAAGATGCTGGAAAAGAATTCAGAGCACAAAGCAGGGACTTGCAGTGCCCTTTCTCTTTCAGCAAACTCTTTTATTCTACTGTGAGGAATGAAATGCTTCTGTTACAGCAAACACAGACTTGTGTTTTACAGCAAAAGCCGTTTAAAAGGTTATACACGGGCTGTACACAGGGTTGAGTTTGGTAGCGAGAGTCTTTCTGTGTTGCTAATATTGAGAAGAAAAGACCACCTATTCTGAAGTCACAGTTGTTACAGAAGGACCCTTCTTTCTAGTGCTGTTGTCATGCCTTTAATTCAGAGCTGAAGGGATGCTTTCTGGTGAGCTAAGAGTTAAGGGGAAATATTAAGCTGCCACAGAATTAGTCTTGGGGGCTAAGAAGAGGGTGTCCTTGGCCATTCCTCTAACATGATGGATGATGACAGGGAGTAACAGAATTTGACATGGGGTGTGCAAATCCAGTGACTGCAGATAGATAAATCACAATATTTTTGAGGTTGATAAGGCTTATGATGCATCCCTTTAAAATAACGAATATTGCAATTCTTCATTATCTCAGCATGTGCAAACACCATAGAACAGTCTGAAAATACTGGGGAGGTGGGCTCAGCCACCACCTCCAGGCAAGCAGCACTGCCAGAGATGACTTGCAGTATGTAGTGCTCACTAGTGTTGTGCGGATGTGATTTATGTCCCTGTCACTCACCTCCCACCATACCAATGTCTCACCATGCCAGGCACTGTAAGTGGTCCTGCCAGAAGGCAGCTTTACTCCCCAGCATATTTGCTGCCAGCCTCTACCTATGCCCTCACCTCTCTAACCATAAGCTCAGTTGCTGAAACATGATGTGAACACAATTAATGTTGGCTCATCAACCTCTTAGCTTTCACCACATCTGAATTTGTGTCACAAGCTCTAACCGCAAACCAACCCTGGCCATGGAGGTCAGACAGAAGGGGAAAGGTGTTCCTGTTCCCCCACTGCGGCTTTGGCAAGCAGCTGCTGTGGCAGCTCTGGTCCAGGGGAATAAGATCTGCAGTTGTTCAGTGACAGGTCTTGGAGAATCCAAACCACTGTCAAGCCCTCTTTAATTACTCATAAATGGAGCGCTTTCACTTAGCTTGGGAGGTAGGGCCTTTTCCTGCCCTGTGCCTTCCCTTGGCCACACCAGACATGCAGTATTGCTGTCTTCTCTCTTTTCCCATTGTGGACCTTGTGAACCTGCTGCCCAGAGCGTGTCCTGCTGGTTCCTGGATATGCCACAAACCCACATTTAGCAGCTAGCAAACAGCACTTGGGGATCATGCTGGGCACTTCCCACAGCCTTTGTGTATGGTGCGTGAGCTGGCAGCATTGCCTGCCTCAGACACACGTCACTACCTGGGCCCTTCAGATCCACTGCTGCTCATTAGGTACTTTTCTATATTACAGCAGTGTCCATTTGTGCGCCCCCAGAAGTGCCAGGGCTGATGGTGCTGGGGTGATGTCTCTGGCAAGCAGTGGTTTTGCATGAGTGTCAACTTTGGAGGACTACTGACTGCTAGTTCAGACTCAGCTTGATGCTGCTCTTGGGAATGCAGGACAGGGAAAGACGAGCTCCTCTTGTTTGAGTCCTTAATGCACCTGGTAACGTGCTTCTCCTCTATCCCCCCACTCTTTGACTCATTTGGGTGGGTTTGGCTGCTTACAGACCCCCCCATCAACAAGTGATGGGGTGATTGCACTGCATCCCTCACTCTTCCCAGTATTTAAGTGGTGGGGTGGCTGATTTGGCTCAGACCTTGCATCAAGCTGGAGCAGAAGCAACTTTCTTTTAAAGCTCAGGGTTCAAAACCAGCCCAGTATTTCCCATAGCATTTTATTGCCTGGGAAGCCTTATCTTGGCTGTGCCCATATACCATCAACCTGGGATGCTCCAGCACGCAGCCTTCCCTGAGCAGGGAGAGGTGGAGGAGATGAACTTCTCATTGAGGATAAGGGAAAGAGCAGCAGCCTGAGCATCTCCCAGCACATGCAATGCAAGAAAATGCCACGAGTAGGTCAAAGAGTCTGGGCTCTGTTGTCACAGGCTGTACCTCAGGCAAAACACAGCTGAAGGAAAAATCAGAAACCTTCCAACCTACTTAACTTGGATCCTAAGCAGAGTGAGCAACGCTAGAGCAGGACTATCCATTTCCATCTGATGTCCCTAAGCGCAACAGTGATCAATTCAAAGAAGAATTTAATATTAAAGATTCAGCCACCTTCATCAGAAATAAGCCCTGATTCAACACAGATGTACAAGAAAGAAATGTTTTGAATTTCAGGTCTACACCCCAGCCCCAGAGAGCTAAACACTGAATAGTCACCGCTCTGCAATGCACGCTGTCTCTCGGAAAGTTCTGCAAAAGGTGAACTGCACTGCGGTTTGTTTTGCTTCCAGACTGATCTAACTAACTGTTCAGACTTTCAAAGGCACCGTGTAGGAGTCTGACATTTAAAAGAGGGAGGAAAAAAAGGAGGGGAGAAAGAGTAATATTCCCATAGAATCTGAATATGTATTTCCCCCCCTTTTTCCTGACGGAAAGCGTGCATCTCTAGCGCTGCTGGGCTGGTGTTTGCTCCCTGCAGGCAGAATATTGCTCCGTGTGTTTCCCAGTGGTGCCAAAGGAAAGTGTGTGTAGATGGGTGTGCTGATGTCAGGTTTGCTTCCCTGGGTCGTGCAGTGAGAGGAAATCATTCAAGAGATGAGCTCTACCTGCACCGTGAGATACAATAAGAAATACTTGCAAAGGCTTTCATGGGCTGGGGGAGATTTAAGGATGGAATATATCGAGTGTGCCACAGATCGGTCATCTGCCCAGGAGGCAGAGAAATCTCTGCTCTCCTTACTGTAACCAGGAATTTACCAAATTCAACTGGGATGCAGTTTCAGTGTGTTCTTCCCCCTCTGCAGCAGGCAGAATTTCCATGCATGCACATACATATACAGATATAGAACAGAATCATATAGAATACACTGTTCTGATACATGCAAGCATTTTCCTTATATGCTTATACATTTTGAGATACACTGTGGATGCAAATCAGCTCTGTGGAAGCATAAGAAAGAAATTTCCACATCATACACTGAAGCCACAAAGATGTGTCCCCGATGTGGTTTTGCCTTGGTATGAGCTTTCCGAAATATAGCACAAACCAAGACAAAAACCTACTTTTTCCTTGGAAAAACATCACCAGGCAATACGGATTCTTAGAGAAGGATTTTTTTTTTTCCCCTACCATACTGGCACACACACACACTCACAAGTGATGTGGACTTAGATGTTAGTAGAAACCCAAAGTCTAAAGGTCTGACAAACAAATGGCACAACTCCCTGTAATCCCACTGAGAGAGTGTCTGGGTTATTCAGTACAAGCTTCACTCCCAGGGCCCTTGCAGATGCTAAGGGAAGCTGCAGGTCTATGCTGAGTGCTAGAACGATGCTCTGATAGTCGGGAAGAATTTAGCTCTCAGAAGCTGAAATAAATGCCTTGTTCAGGCTGAAAGCGGTGGATGTTACTTAGGCTTGTGGTAGCGAGATGTGGAAATAACCCATTAGCTTATTGCCAGCATTGGATGTGGACTGTTGTCCTGCGAAATCTTATTCACAAATTGTTCTTACTTACGTGATGCTTCCCACTGAAGTAAAACCCAACTCCGATGCTGTTCCTTCCTCTGAGCTTCCCTCTATGTCCTGTCTCTTTTCTTTTTAACAGAGATGCAAGCTCTTTGGGATAGGAGTTTTCAGCACTAATTTTTACACTGTACATGGTGTCATATAGGTGAGATGAGAGACGGTGAATATCAGAGATTTAAAAATATATATCAAAAATACATACCTGCAGGGATTTCAGCAAAAAATGCATTCACAGGAGAGCATTGATATAACCATCTGCAGAACTTGTTTTTTCACTATGTTAATATACTGGCATTATTGGACAAATGCAAATCAAAATCTCTCTTGTCATTTTTAATTTTAACATTTTTCTTTCATACAAGAAAGCTGTGAATTTCTTGGGTTGTTTTGGTTTGGTTTTGTTTTTTTCTCCTGGTTTTATGGTAAGGTGAGCTAAGAATGCGTAACATAAATTTTGAAAGAAACTTAGTTTACATGAAGTAAGAGAAAATATGTTGTGTAAAAAAAAAGACAGTAACGGGTCCTCTTTTCACTCCTTTTTTGATGAGGTTGTCTCTTGTAAATTTTAAGGGCATATTTTATTAAAATTATTTCAGTATTTGCATCTTGCATATTCCAGTAGCATTTTAATATATATCAGCGGTGCATTTTCAGTTCTGAAGACTGACAGTCTTTCAGTGCTGCACGTTTTTCATGTTGGGGGTTTCTTACATCTGGCTTATAGTTTAAAGGAAAAAAAAACCCTGTGAACTGATTTGCACCAAATTCCCTCATAACAGCGAGAGTTTATGTTAAAAAGGGATTGTGAAAGTGAGGGGGAAGCAGGGAAGAATGAAAAATAATGGCAGAATAATTCTTGTAATCACTCAGGATAGGATAAGCATGAAATGCAGCTATAATATGAATGATAATCTGAAGGGGGAAGTAACAGCTGAAAGACTTTCAATTAAAATATACTAAGCTTAACTGATTGTGCAGATAAAGCACACTGATACCGCAGTGATGGACACTACATAAATGCCAATGCAGATTCCCAGAGCCCAGCAAACAGTTTAATTAAAAATGAATTTCAATATAATTATTGTTGTAGCCTCACAAACAACTACAGCAGAAAGTCGTATTTTGTCGCGTGAGCTCCCGACGCATGAAGCATTTCATTGTAGGGTATTTATGAGCCCCACTTTTGTTTCAGACCTCATAATGGGCAGTTGAAACATGCAGCAATGAATCTATCCTTGTATCGGTCCTTTGTTCTGGCATTTTATCCGAAGCTCTGATAGAGGATGGGGGGACAGGCAGGAGCCCCCTGCTCGGCACATTGCAGCGCTTGGGTTGTGTTTCAGTGCCCTCTCGTGGCTCGCATGCTGCGGGGACATGGGGGACAGCCAGCCCCATGCAAGGACTTCATACTCGGGGGTGCTCCCATGTAGTTATATCTCACCCCATCACACCCTGCGTTGCCTTCCCGTGCTTCCAGCAGTGTCGGCCCCATACACAACCCCATGTGGGCATTGCTACCCAGGAGCAGAGGTGTCCTGTGGGGCTACACAGGCTGATGGGGGTGAGCCAAGGCCACCTGTGCTGGCAGGGACAAGTCTCACTGTCACCTCTACCCTGGGAGGAAGCACAGACGGCCATCGCAGTCAGCAGGGGATGGATGCTTGATGCTTGCTACTGACCCCATTTCTGGACCAGGTCTGACCTGTCCGGTCTCTTGCTGTGTGATGATTCACACTTTTGTCATGTATCTGGACATCAAGGGGTGCTGCAACCTGAGCGGTTCCTGCCTGCGTGGGTTTCTGTAGCAGTCAGGGGTTACGGAGTGTGCGATGGCCACTTCAATACTTAATCATGCATTTCAGAGTTCCCCTGTGATCTATATGTGCACGCTACTTAAAATGTCTATCTGGTTTGTTCTGCTAACATTTTATGTCACCAGCTGCTTCTGTCTGCCTCTTCCTTTCCTCCCAAATCAAGCAGTGCTTCACAAAGTGCAGCTCTCAAAGCTGGTGCAAGGGGCTACAGGCTGAGGCACAGGCAGGTTACAGGCATCTGCCCAGGGAGCATTCCACACACATCACTGTCTACAACCTTCTGTCTGAAATGAAGTATCTTGTTCCCTTATTCCTTTTTCCCCTATTATTGTTTTCTTATTATTCCCTTATTATTATTGTTTATTCCCTTTATTCAATTTTTCCTTTATTCCCTTACTATTATCTTATTCCCTTATTATTATTGGTTTTCTCTGATTATTGTTTTTCCTTATTCCCTTATTATTATTGTTTTCTTTTCCCCAAAACGGTCACATTCATTTGTATCAAATAGTGCAGTACATGTGTTCTGGTACATAAAGCCCCATCTAATTCTAAATCAAAGTGACTTATCTAAGCCTGGTTAGGCATCAAGCTGTGACCATTCCATTCAGATCACTTATGACACAAACTAGATTTAAACACCTATCTCCAGAAGCATAAACCTATGTCTTCTGACTTTACTACAGTTTTAGATGATGGTAAAAGTCAAAACCACAACCATAATTACCCATCAATTTCTCATTGTGTTTTCTGTAGTGCCCATCACTGTAAAACTTAGGATATGGTGTTTGGAAGTTAAATGAGTGATGTGAAACTTAGATCTTTGTTTCAGCTAGGTGCTTTTTACAGCATCAGGACTGAGTGCAGTCTGTAAGTCTTGTCTATGCACCATGTCTTTTATTGCTTCCTTGCTTGCACAGTGCAGCTTGGGAATTATAAGACAGGAGGATGTATAAACTACACAGCCCTGTACTGCAGATGAAACTGATCCCTGCTGTAGTGGTGCTGAAGGTAGGAGAGCTGCAAATGAGAAGGACTTCTGCTCAATGTTTTGTACAACCATTTCACCAAGCAGTGAGTTGCCTAGCTCCTGAAGCTGTCTGCTGGGAAAGAGACAGTGGGTGGAGAACACTGGTTAGCTTTTAGAAACGTTTAACCGAGCAAGAATCAGCTTTCCTTCCTCTGTTTTTCAGGTCTTTGTGAGACTGTGTAGACATCGCTTTTTATTTTGAGGGACACAGGAAATCAAAGCCAGACCAGGTCTAAGTTAAAGTCTTTCGTCTGTTACTGTTGTCCTCCAAAGGTGTGGGAATTTCTCCATAAGATGCTGTTGTATCACTGATACAACATGATAAAACATGGTTTTATCTTCTGATAAACTGATGTTCCTTGTGTGGGGAGGTTTCTTATAAAGGAGCTGTAAAGAGGAGGAGAGATACCAGGACTCTCTATGCCTGTGCTGGCTCCTACTGGCCAGGGATTATGAAGTGTCAGTGGAACTGAGGCAGGGTTTGAGGCGTTCTTACATGGTACTGACAGCAGCAGTGATTTGCAGGTAGCTGCCACTTCTGCTGGCCAACAAGCTTGGCCAGACAAGTGTGCTGCAGCCACTAATAATACTGTGCACACACAGTTCTCAATCCTGTATTTTGTGAATCATAAAATGGGGAGATACCCATTTGTATACATACTAAGTTACCTTCTTTCAGACCTCAATATTTCACATCTCTAGTGTTGAGTGTGAAGTGCATGTGGCTGGAGAGAGGATTTACTTCCCTGCTTCGTGAATAAAATCCCAAAGGACCAAAGGCTAAGAGATGCCGAGCACCTATTTCAAGGGGTCTTCCTGGCACAGGCCAGACCAACGTGCAGGTCATGCCACTCAAATGTCAAGTATGTGCCCAGTGGTGGGAAGAG